TTCCTTCACTCTGTTCAGCTTACAGGTCGATGTAGCCCGGATTTCAGGGCCATTCCAGCACCGAGTCGGGGGACCTGACAGGTGAACGCCCACCCTCAGCTCCGTCTCTGGAGGAACCGAGCTGCAATGGTCACTGCAGTGGCAGCCTCTCAGGGCTGTGCACCAAGGCACCTCTCCCTTTCAGCTCCTTGGCCCTGCTTCCTGGGCACCTCCAGAGTCAACAGGATCACCCAAGCCAGGGCCTTCTCTGCTGTAGTCATAGGGAACCATGGTCCTCAGGTCCCCAGAGAGCGACCCAGCTGCGCATCAGCACTGCGAAGCCCTCCCGGCCCGGGGTCCTCGCCTCCTGCTGCGGCCTCAGCCCACAGCGCACTCTCCTTCCCGCCCACACAGTGGCCCACAGGGAGCCCGGCCAGCTTTCCAGGAGGCCTTCCTTGGCAAGGTCACAGCCAGGCACTGACTAAGGTCCGCAGCATCCCATTCAGAGATCCCCGCGAGGGAGGTGACCCTTGGCAATGCTGACCTCATCCAGCCCCACCCAGGACTCTGCGTCCGCCTACGACCTGCTCAGAGCCTTCCCACAGCTGGCCAGGCAGCGTCTCAGACCGTCCTGGGGCTGGCCACAGCAGGAGCTGGACGGTGCCTGGTCATGGGGCGGAGGGCCACGTGCCTCCAGCCCCAGGGCATGGAGATGGACCACGTTGTCCCTTCCAACTGCCCTATCCTCTGCCCAGGTCTATTCTCACCAAACCTAACGGGAGTTCCTACTTGAAAGACGTGACATTACAAGAGGCTCCTTGACAACCCCACCCATTAGGGGCAGCACCACCCACAGCACCCATAGACGCACAGCACCACCCACAGCACCACCCACAGCACCATAGTCGCACGTCACCACCCACAGCACCATAGACGTACATAACCACCCACAGCACCATAGACGCACATCACCACCCACAGCACCATAGATGCACATCACCACCCACAGCACCATAGTCGCACGTCACCACCCACAGCACCATAGTCGCACGTCACCACCCACAGCACCATAGACGCATGTCAGCACCCACAGCACCATAGACGCATGTCAGCACCCACAGCACCATAGTCGCACGTCACCACCCACAGCACCATAGTCGCACGTCACCACCCACAGCACCACCCACAGCACCATAGTCGCACGTCACCACCCACAGCACCCATAGTCGCACGTGACCACCCACAGCACCATAGACGCATGTCAGCACCCACAGCACCATAGTCGCACGACACCATCCACAGCACCATAGTCGCACGTCACCACCCACAGCACCAGTCGCACGTCACCACTCACAGCACCCATAGATACACATCACCACCCACATCACCACCCACAGCACCATAGTCGCACGTCACCACCCACAGCACCATAGTCGCGCGTCACCACCCACAGCGCCGTAGACTCAAGTCACCACCCCCAGCACCATAGTCGCACGTCACCACCCACAGCGCCGTAGACGCAAGTCACCACCCACAGCACCATAGTCGCACGTCACCACCCACAGCACCGTATTCACACGACACCACCCACAGCACCATAGTCGCGCGACACCACCCACAGCACCATAGTGGCACGTCACCACCCACAGCACCCATAGATACACATCACCACCCACGTCACCACCCACAGCACCATAGTCGCACGTCACCACCCACAGCACCATAG